CAGTCTTTTCAACAAGTGGTGCTGAGACCATTGAAGATCCACAGTAGGAGATAATGCAAAATATATATTGGCCTCCCCTGTAATTCCTGACACAGGGCTCCTGAAGGGCCTGTAATTTCCTGGGTGATAGGAGCATCTTTTGTTCTGATGAGGCAACTCTGGGTGGGCTCCTGGTGGCTCTTGGATGAGGGTCACCGGAAAGACCAAGCCGTGAATAGCATCTTGGAATGTTCAACGTTGCCCTCCCTCCCTCCACCCTGCCCGCCATGCTCCAGAGAGGGAAGAAGGGCTGGAAATGGAGTTGATAATTGAAGCTCCATAAAAATAGAAGCCCCCATACAACCCCAATGGAATGGGTTTGTGGGAGCCTCCAGGTTGGTGGACGCATCCACACCAGGAGGGTGACACAGCCCAGCGCCACGGGGACAGAAGCTCCGATACTCAGGACCTTCCCAGAGCTCACCTTATGCATTGCTTCACCTGGCTGTTCATCTGTGCCCTTTATCACATCCTTTAATAAACACCTAAGTGTTTCCCTGAATTCCGTGAGCCACTCTAGCCGATTAACTGAACCTGACAAAGGGGTCACTGGAACCTTACAGCCCGTTGGACAGAAGCACAGGTGATAACTAGGGCTTGAGACTGGCGTCTGAATGGGGGACAGTTTTGTGGGGCAGGGCCCTTATTCTGTGGGATCTGACACTATCTCTAGGTAGATGTGTCCGAACTGAGTTTAATTGTAAGAGACCCAGCAGGTGTTACAGAGAGTTGCTTATTGTTTGGGGGCAAAACTACCTATTTGGTGAGGAGAAGGGTCAGAAGTGCTTCGTGTGAGTAGGTACAGGAGACACAGCTGCATATGAAGGAAAAGCTCAGATTTTTACCTTTACACACATGAAAAAGAGTGAAGGTGGACCTCTACCTCATACCATATCCAAAAATTAACTCAAAATGGATCAAAGACAAAAACGTAAGAACTAAGACTACAAACACTCAGAAGAAAACATAGGTGTACATCTTTGGGACCTTGGATTTGGCAGCGGTGTCTCAGGACACGAAAAGCACAAGTCACGAAAGGAAAAATAGATAAATTGCACTTTCTCAACCTGAGTAGTGTCTGTGCTTCAAGGCACACCAGCAAGAAAAGTAAAAAGACAACACACTGAATTGGAAAGGATGTCTCCAAATCATATGTCTGGTATAGAACTTACAGCTGGAATGTGTGAAGGTCATTGGCAATCCAATAATAAAAAGCAGATTTTAAATTTTAAAAAGCAAATTTTGAAATGGCAAAGGATAGATAGAGGCACCTGGGCGGCTCAGTCGGTTAAGCATCCAACTCTTGGTTTCATCTCAGGTCGTGATCTCACGGGTTTGTGGGTTCGAGCCCCAGACGGGGCTCCCGTGCTTGCGGAGCCTGCTTGGGATTCCCCTCTTTCTCTCTTTTTGCCCCTCTCCCCTGTTTGTGTGCTCGCACGCTCTCAAAATAACTAAATAAACTTAAAAAATAAAATAAACTAAAATGGCAAAGGATCCGAATAGACATTTTTCCAAAGGTTTGCAGATGGCCGATAAGCAGGTGAAAAGAGACGTTCGCCGTCACTAGCCATCAGGGAGAGGCAAATCCGGAGCGCAACGGGGCACCCCTTCTCACGGACCGGGACAGCCAGAATTAGAAAGATGAACGAGAAGCCATGCTGGCAAAGATGTGTTCAAATCGGACTCTCGTTCCCTGCAGATGGGGGGGTGGGGGTGAAGTCTCGTAGCCGCTTTGCAAAACAGTCTGGAAGTTCCCCAAAAGGTTAACTAAACACAGAGTCACCGTATGACCCAGTAATTCCACTCCTAGGTGTCTGCCCAAAAGAAACGAAAACAGAAGTCCGCACAAACACTGGTACACGAATGTTCAGAGCAGCATTATTCCTCACAGACAAAAAGCTAAAATAATTCAGGTTTCCATCAACCGACGAATGGATAAATAAAATGTGGTGTAATGGAATATTATTCCCCCATGAAAAAGGTGCACGAAAACATTATGCTAAATAAGAGAAGCCAGGGGCGTCTGTCTGGGTGGCTCAGTCAGTGAAGCGTCGGACTCTTGGTTTTGGCTTAGGTCCCGAGCTCAGTTTCATGAGTTCGAGCCCGGCGTGGGACTCCACACTGGCAAGGCAGAGCCTGCTTGGGATTCTCTCTCTCCCCCTCTCTCTGGGCCCCTCCCCCACTCATGCTGTCTCTGTCTCCCTCAAAATAAATAAACTTTTAAAAAATAATAAATAAATACACAAATACATACACGAATACATAAATAAATACATAAAAGAAGCCAGTCGTGAAGAACCACATATTGTATGCCTCCGTGTGTGCGGAGTGTTCAGAACAGGTAAATCTATTGGAAGAAGAGGGTAGATCAGTGATTGCCTGGGGTGGCGTGGGGGGGCATGGAGGGATTTGGGGGTGATGTCTAAAAGGTACAACGTTTCTTTGCAGAGAGGATGAAAATATGTTCTAAACCTGGGGTAATGGTTACATGGCTTTGTGAAAATACAAAAACCCACTGAATTTTACACCTTAAGTGGATGAATCGTATAGGATGTGAATTAAATCTTGACAATAAAGCTGTTGCCAAGAAAAAAAAAAAAAAGAATATCACCATCACCCCCCAATGTACTCATCACCAGGATCCAACATTTCCCCAGTTGCATTTCCTATCCCCCTACAGTCAGGCCCTAACTTCCAAGTTTGATTTTTTTTTTTCTTAGATGGTCAAACTTTGCATCCATGCTTAAAAAAGCATTGCTTCTTGGATTTATTAGGTATATAAAGGCTTTAGGAAAATCGGATGTATTAAATGTGTTAGTGTGTTTTGAAATATCTAAAGCAGTAGTTCCCAAACTTTGGGGGGGGTTGGGTGTTGGGGGGGTGGCCGCTTTTAAAATCCTGACGCCCACCAATTAAATCGGTTCCTGAGGGTAAAAAACGGCATCCATAGTTTTAATGATTTTCCAGGTGATTCCAACGTGCCACCAAGTTTGTGAAATTTAGCTTAACTATGGAAATTGTGAAAGACGTTTCAGTGGAGTCTCATCTACTAACCTCATGAGGTCATTAATTCTAATACAGGAACGAAATGAAAGGTTTACACGACAGTCGTTTTGCTAAGTCGAATAACGAGATGCGCCCAAGTTGAGCTGACGATAAAAGTCTTGAAAATGTATCACCGAATTCTTAAATCACTGGCTATTTAAATACTGCAGATGAGAAATGGAACTACTTAGACCCGAAACTTGTCAACGTTTCCCGCATCTGCAACATCCCCAGAGGACGGAAAACCGGAGGGACAGCTGGGTCACCGAGACCTTCACGTGGTCCGGGCCGCAAGGGAGTTCAAGTGCCGGAGGCCCGGAAAAGGATCGCGCTGGCCAGGAAGTTTTGCCCGGTGTCCCCGCAGCCTCGGCAGCGGCCCCACG